CATGGTGCCCATATTGTGAAGGTAGTATGAAGTTAACCCTTAAGGACGCAAAACAAATTGCATTATCTAAATATGGGAATGTCTTTTAACTGAGTATAAAAATATAGGTAAACCGCTTATCTGGAAATATCAATCTAATCATTAATGGCAAAATTCACTTAATTACATTATAAATAGAGAACAATGGTGTTCATTTTGTATTGGCCAATATCAATCTATTGAGAATATGCATAAGCTTACGTAAATAAAAAATGGAGATTGCCTTTCAGATTGATACTATAACTTACGTGTCAAACTAGAATAGATTTGTGAGAATAAACATAAATGAGAAGCTGTTCCCAATAGTATTCAACAAGGAAGCTGGTATCTATATTGTAAAAGCGGTATAAAATTAACTCTCGAGAATGTGAAGCAAATTGCATTATCTAGACATAGGCAATGCCTTTTAACCAAGTATAAAAATAATCAATTATCACTATTATAGTATTGCAAAAAAGGCCATATGTGGCAAGCATCTCTCTGTAATGTGAAAAGTGGTACCTGGTATCCATTCTGTTATAAATATAAACGCGAATAATTATGTCGAGAAATTGTAGCAAAGTATCTTGATCTACCATCTGAAAATCGCAGACCAGATTTCTTAAAAATTCCTGAACATCCTAAAGGATTAGAACTTGATATTCCCTATTATGAATATGGATTTGCAATTGAAATGTAAGGAGAACAACACGAAAGATATATAGAATTCTTTCATAGAGGCGATCCCAATAATTTTATCAAATAGCAAGCATAGGATCAACTCAAGAAAGAATTATGCGAAAAGAACTGGATTGCACTAAGATGCGTTTGGTATTACGAAGACTCATATGTAGTTATTCCAGAGTATCTTCAGAAATTAGGTCTTATTGATTAAATTCAAAACTTTAAATGCATTACACACATTTACATACGTTATTCATATACATGTTTATACGTAAAATATTGATTAGGCAAAATTTTATTTTATTTGGCAACTTCAGATAAATGCTAATATAGTATTACAAATTTTTTTGCATGATACAGGCATATTAAATGAATACTGTGTATTAATTGAATAAAAAGATCATTTACGTTTTTTTCACTAATTTCTTAAACTGTGGAATTCCCAATGTAGCTCAACACCAATTGCAGGCTTCTATAGAACTGTAGAAGAATTTTTTAATAGGTACAGTATAGGATCAATTTATTATATCACTGAGTTCTATTCGCAATATATTATTATTTTTATTCAGATGCAATTATAATGTAATGCTAACAAATAAGTATTACATGAAGAAAAAAATATAAACTATAATGTAAAAAAGAACCTAATAACTTTTTTAAATTAATGGTGGTAATTTTGAAGGTAATCCACTGGGATATGAAGATTTGAGAGATGAGGGTTTTTCCATCTTCTTATTCTTTTCTGATATATCCTGCACTGATTTATTGCTTTAATTGTTGACAAAACATCAGCCTGTATGTAATAACAAAGTTGGTTATTTTATTAGTATTTGATAAGAACATATGTGAATATTTCTAATCTGTTATCTGAAAGTTCATTAAATCAATCATTGTTCTTGCAAATCATTCAAAATTGTTGAATAATACTGGTATTTTGATAATTGTGAACGTTTGAAGAATATAAATTGAGGGTAGAGGACGAATCAAATACTTAATCTTAATTAAACCATCTATAAAATAAAACATATATATGAGTCACTAAACTTTTTACTACCTAACATCTAATCAAATACTTACTAGCAGATTGCATCAAATAAATGCGTGCTATATTTTTAGGTACATTCTATAATAGATTATTTAGAATTCGCATAGAATTTCTACATAATTTAACTTCATCACTGTCTTCTTTTGATTCAGGTACTCATCTGCCATATGAGAACTTGAATAGAATTATAGCTTGATTTTTTTTTTGTCTTAATCACTTTAATAAGTCCGTCCATTTGTGATGTTTTGTATGGGAGGTTGTTAACTCAATCCTAAATAAAAACAGAGAAATTAATAACAAATTGGCTTTATCATTTTGAATTTTACAAATTAATACTTACCACACAAGTTTGACCACATCTTGATGCATATGAAATAATCTATTTATAATATATACTGTTGTATCTATTAAATACAGTCAACTCTCTATAAATGCATCCCATATAAGTGCATACCTTTTTTAAATGCATTATTTAGTTCAGTTCTAAATTGGGGAATTAGTGCTAAATGCACCCTCTACTCCATACACTGTGCAATGATTTTTAAAACCCATTTATATAAAAATTTTTATATAAATGCACATACGTGACTTAATGGATAGTTTTTTGACAGAAATTATAAAATTGCCTAATAAACTAAAACATATATATATCATGTAAATTCCTTTTAAGGTTAATCATTAAGTGAATTTTATTTAAAAATAGGATTAATCATTGAGTCATTGTCTAATAAAGTTAAATTAAATGGCAAATATTTTATATATAATGAAACGCGTTACAGCTGCGGTAATTCTGCAGGTTTACATGTTAAATATGCATCCTAAAAAAAAATAACTTTAACCGATAACCAAAAGTATGAACTCTGTCTTTATGCTAACAGTAATAAAGAGAATCAGGCTCATTATGTAAATTGGGTTGAGCAAAAATGGGAGTTATAGTTGACAAAACTACAATAACTCGAATTTTAAAAACTAAAGAAAAACAGCTTTCTACCGAAATTACTCATCCAAAATAAAAATGACACAAACCTGTTATCTATTCAGAACTTGAACTTGCACTTAAGGAGTTCGTATTAAACTATCAGCACTGAACAATCTTAAGTAATGCAATCTTAATTGAAAAAGCTAAATTATTAGCAGAAGGTTTAGAAATTTTCGGTTTGCAGTTTTCTAATGGTTGGCTTCAAGGATTTAAAAAGTGTAATGGAATACATCAGCATAAGCTTCAAGGAGAAGCAGCATCTGCTAATCAAGCTGCTATTTTTGAAGCCTTACCAATATTACATGAGAAATGTGTTAATTATCTATCTGAGCGAATTTATAACATGAACGAAACAGGACTCTTTTATCGGTACATATTCCTGTTATTTATATTATTAATTATTATTATTTTACTAAATACTAGTTTTTGCAGGCTAGAACCAGATCGAACACTAGTTACAAGATGCCTTTCTGGACAAAAAAAAAATAAGGAATGTCTTTCTGTAGCTTTATGTTCAAATACTGATAGATCGCATAAATTACCTCCATTAATAATTAGAAAGTATGCAAATTCACGGTGTTTTAAAAACATTAATATTCACAACTTACCAATAGTATACCGAAATAACAAAAAAGCATGGATGCTTACAACCCTCTTTCAAGACTGGCTTTGTGATTTTGATCGACAGGTTAGTCAAAAGCATAGAGGTCAACGCGTTTTACTATTGCTTGATAACTGTACAAGTCATAAACTAGGAGGTTTGAATCTTTTAAATATTGATATTCACTTTTTACCACTAAATACAACCTCTAAGATTCAGCCTATAGATGCGAGAATAATTATGTCTTTCAAAAAGCATTATCGTTATTATCATATCCAGTATGTTTATTGTATAAAATTTATTACATTAGCATTTATTATTTATAATACTTATTTAACATTAACATTGAAAAAAACTTATTGTTTATATTAATTAATCATTTTAAATTTTTTTTATTTAGTTGGATACTAGAACAGATCGAAGCAGGTCAATTCATACAAGATTTAAAGATGGATGTCTTATAGGTGATAAAGTTTATTATTCAAAGCTGGAATGAAATTACAACAGAAACGATTTATAATTGTTGGAATCACACTAATATCCTTTCTAATACTGAGTATTTGAATGATATTAAAGCTGATGATTTTGTGTTGAATGAAATCTCCAGAATGCTTGAAGTTCTTAATCTTCCTAATTTTATGGGAGCAGAGGAATTCCTTAATATTCCTGATGAAAATATTATCTATGAAGTTTCTAAAGATATTACAGGGTTTATAGAAATGTTTAAGAAAAGATCTGATAGAAATACTGATGATTTGGATGAAATGGAAGATAACACTGAGGTGGTAACTGTTAGTACTAATGTAACATTACAAAGCTTAAATACTATTCACACATTTTTACTTCAGCAAGAGAATTCAAATGAGTATATAAAATTAGTAAATTCATTTGAAAAATTTATTAGAAGTAAACAGACACAAACTACTATAGATCAATACTTTGGTTAATAATTGTTTTATTAAATAAAGAATAATAATAATACCAATTATACATAAAATATTTTTTTAATTTATTAATTTATAAGTTGTTTTGGTGTTTTGTAATGCAAATCTAAATTTTTTTATAAATGCACACCCTCCGTAAATGCACACCTATATCCAGTCCCAAGGGGAGTGCATTTATAGAGAGTTGACTGTAAGTTCTTTTGTAATCAAGGCTTTTGTTTTCAATTCTTGTTGGTGCTTCAAGTCGCTTAGAACTATTTATAGAAAGATTATTTGAGAATTTTGTTGTGATTGTCAAATATTTCAAATAAAAACTTACAAATGTATTAAAATCTGTTGTGCGATATCATGACCCTCATGACGATAGGAATTGAATGATTCAATTAGAATTACAGAAGACTTGCGAACCATATATGGAATGGTTATTCTATCACAAACACCTTCGGTAAATTGATCTATGTATTTCTTAAATTTGTCTATTTGTTTTCAGGATTTTCGTTCGAGAACTTTATTAAGCCATTCAATTTGTCTTTCATCCAATGATCTATTAACTCTTTATCATTGAATAAATCAACAATATTATTAAGAGATATGGATGACATGCAATCTTTTCTGGACTTTTTATCTTTTTCTTTTCGTGCAGACAAAATAGTGAATAATTTATTGCAAATATCCATTTCGTCCTAGAAAATTAAATAGAAATGAATATATAATTAAAAAGCAATAAACTTAGCAAATAATAAAATATCTGCATGAGCTTCCTGATTCTTCTTCATCTTGATCTATATCAATTGATTCTATCTTGCTCTCTTCTGAGCCAGGTAATGTGCTATCAAGATCTTGTGGCTTGTTGTTAAAGAAAGAAGATATGAAGAAACCTCGTGCAGTTTTAATTGAACTTGATGATAACAAATAATTATCTTTCAAAAAATCAGAACTCTCGACTAAATTAATAGCTCTATTATTGCTATCATCAATATTATTATCCATGTTTTCTTTTCTGCCAGTGATTTTAGCCTGTTCATATAAGAAAATTTTTAGAGAATTCGCATCTCATAATAGGGTTGCATTCTATACATATCTTCTTTGATTCTTTATTCTGCAGATATCAAAGTAGTTATTAAGAAAAAATACTCAAAATTTTATATAAAAAAAAACATGATTGTTATATGCTAACCTTTGATAACAGAATTTTTTTCTGTTTTTGTCCTAATTTCAAGCTATCGTCTAAAACGTGTCTTTTGAACTTATTAGTAATTGTCCTTCATAATAATAAGCCCTATTTTCAGATATCTCTTGTCACATCCAGAATATGATGGGTCTAAAATGAACTTTCAGTAATGCTAACGCCAAGATCAGGTTTAATAAGAAAGTAAACATATTAACCTGTTTAAGGTACAGAGGGTGATCACGGGTTTTCGAACGATAAGTATTTTTGTTTTTTTTCTTTGTTTACATTATCTACGCGTTTATTTCTAATTTTAGTATTTATTTAGCATGTCGATCACAACAATA